CATGGGAAGGTCTGAGGAGCAGGGCAGGGAAGCAGCTATATCTCTCTTTACACCAGTGAGTCCTGGTTGCCAAACACCCTCAGCAGATGAACAGCATCGCTCTGTGGGCATGCTAGGAAGGAAACCTGGCAGAAACGGGGAAAACACCTATTTCACAGATGGTAAGTTAGAGGGAAGCAGGAAAATAAGCATGCCACAGATGACCCCATATCTGAGGGCCAAGCTGTCCACACTCTAAGCACCTTCTGGGTCTTGGACCCTGAGCTGTTGTTCCCTGCAGAGAGTGGGACCCCTGTGCATCCAGCTCCATCCCCTGCACGACAGCAGGAGAGCGAGAGGGGGGAACATGAACAGCCAGGGGAGAAGGGGATGTGGTTGTGGATCCCCACTCTAGCCCAGCGCTGCCGCTCACCCACGTGTGAGACCTCACGGGGGTGCTCTGGGACTTGGAGTGCTGCGCTGGCCCTGCCTGCGGGCACTGAGCACCCCGGGGATTCGGGGCTGGCCACAAACCCCAGCCCCACTCCCTGGGGAGGATGTCGTGGCAGACTCAGGTCAGCCCCAGTTTCACCATAGATCAGCTGCAAGATCCCACCCTTGGGCCCAGGACACGGGAACTGTTTTGTGTCCCTTATTTTCCTGAGCTTTCTCTCATGCAGGTTTGCCCCCTACCTGCTTCTTTGCCTGCCTCAGGTCCCCCAGCACCTTCCCACCTCCTTGAGACTTTGGGGATGGCTGACCACAGAGCTGTTCCTTGCCCTCAGGACCACCACATTTCCATCTGCCTGCAGGCTTTACAAGAAGAGATATTCAGAAATCAAATGGATATGTGCTCCCCTTACTCATGGGGGATGTCTGGGGAGCCAAGGGGACAACACAGGGGCAGGGTAAAAGCCTCGCTGCCCAGTGTCCATCCTGCACTACCTGAGCAGGGCAGGCTGGGAAGAATGGTCAGGTTCAACCAAGAGTCCAAATCAATCAGCAAGCTCACAGCAAGCAGATGGGTTCAAAGCCAAGCCATGAAGTCAATCTGCAGGTCAGGTCCAGGGTCAGTCCATGGGTTGGAGTCCAGACCAGCAGAGATCAGACATAAGGATAGCTGCAGCTAACTTAGGGACCAGCCATAACACAGCTCAGACTAGAACTAAGAGCCCTGAGCTGAGCTTAAATAGAGTTCCTGGCCATGGGCAGGATGTGGGTGGGAGGTCCCAGGTGGAGCTGGTCAGGACTGTTAGGGTTCATTAATGCCCTCAGGACCCTTGCAATCACAGAATGGTTGGGGCTGGAGGAGATTTCTAGAGATCATCTAGTCCAACCCCCTCCTAAAGCAGGTTCACCTAGAGCAGGTTGCACAGGGTTGTGTCAAGGCAGGATTTGAAGGAGACTCCACAGCCTCTTTGGGCAGCCTGCTCAAGTGCTCTGTCACCCACATGATGTCCCCCTGCTCATTGTGCTGGAACTTTGCAAAGTGCCTTGTCCTATGAAAGGGTTTTTCCCCCTTTCTTTTACTGACTGCTGACTCAAAATGAGGATTATCTTAAGCTCTGCTATTTTCTGCTTATGGTAGGGACAAGGGGTTTCTCTTGCTGGCTCAGTTAGCAGGCAGCTGGTACCACCCTAGGATGCTCCTAGGGTTCCTCTGGCACCTTGAGACAGCCCCTGCACCCTGGGGAGCCTGGGGTTACATACTCTGGGGATTGGTCCTGAGAAGCAGTGGCTCTTGGACCCTGGTTAGGATCAGGCAGGGGATCCCTGCAGCTGTGGCACCCTGGGGGTCTATTGGCACCCCCTGCCCAGGGCTGCAATCAGCTCAGGAATCAGCCTGCTGCCGAGTGCAATGTGATGAGTGCCTGAGACCTGAGCCGGGCCGATGTGACGCAGAGATGGATGGTGGCACCGAGACTTTCCTTGTATCGGATGCTTTGACTTTCCGACCTGCTTCCATGCAAGGCCACCTTGGATGAAAGAAAATATAGAGAGGGCAGGTGGAGGACAGAGGCTCAGGTTACTGCTCCTCTCCAGCTGCTCTGCTCTCCCTTAGGAATTTGTTTCTGGGTTTTTTCCCCCCCTTTCCCAGGCTTGGCTAGGGCCGCTGTCAGCTGTGGCTCCATGCCATCCCCTGCAGCCCTCTCCACCCCCACTATCGCCAGCCCTCCTCTCTCAGCTCCTCTGCCAAATGGCCCCTCCAAGCTGACACCGCCTGCGGGCTCCCGTGGGATCCAGGCAAGAGGGTCCTGCAGGGATGGGGAACCCCCCTGGGATGGGACCCTCAGCCCTGTGGGGCGCTGGCAGCCCACAGCACTGGGGTCTGGGATGCCCAGAGAGAAACTGTAATGGGGAAAGGGAGGAAGAAACCAGTCCCTGGGTGCCAGCGTGACCACAGTGGATGCTCAGGGAGGACAGACAGACAATACACAGGGTGTAATTGCTTTATTCCTATTTTTTCTCCATTCTTGTTTTTACCATTTGCCTCTTCTCCATTTTAAGTGACTCCTCATCCTCTTTCCCAATGTTTTTTTCCTAGTCCCCCCCCAGCTGGGGCTGTCTGTGCCTTTGTCCCCCCATCCCTGCTCTCCTCCCTCTCCCACCCTGCTGTTCGCTGTGGCTGAGCTCCCTTCAGCTATTCCCTCGCTTGGAATAACTGATCCACTCTGCTGTCCTCCAACAAATAAGCTGACAGGCTAATGAATGGCTTCAGATGGTAATTAGCAATAGAGTTGCTAATAATGAATTTCATTTACATTTTAAGCACTGCAGAGGAAAAGCAAGACCCTGCCATTAATGCCCCCCCACCCCGCCTCACTGCAGCCTTTGCCTTGGGGGGAGTTCACCCTTCTGCGGCCCTTTGAGGGATGCAGAAAGGCTTGGCCATGATTGCACCTTGTCTGCCTCCATTTTGGAGGCTGCAATAAGCAGAGTTCGTTAAGCAGCAATTAGAGGAGGGGGGAGAAGCTGCTGCTGCTTTCATCACCCGATGGGTGGGGATGGCTCCCTGATGCCATGAAAAATGGGCCACGGGAGGCAGGAGCTGGTCCTGGGCCAGGAAAGAAGGGCTGGATGGTTTACCCAGCACCAGGGATTCATCCGGCTGCAGGCTTGGCACCGAGCAGCCCTGGCTCACCTGGAGCACTGGTGCTGTCGGCCCTTGGTGGCCACATAACCCTTCCGTGCTGCTGGTGGTTGTTTGCACACCTGAATAACGACTCGGAGGGATTTCTCATCTCCCTTGACTGCACACGCTCTGTAAATGGTTGCTAAAAACCTTCCTGATCATTTGCTTAGGGGTTTAGCATCTTCTGAAGGCAGCAATTTCCCTGAGAGGCTTAATCCATCCCAGCGTGCCCAAGGAAGGAGCCAAGTGCCTTCTGCAAGGATGCCACAAATAGTCATCAAGCAGAAAGGGGGAAAAAGATGTTGTTTTGTCTTGTACAAGCGAGGGATTCATGGTGGATGCATAGCAACTAGGCATGCTCACTACCACAGAGTGTCGGGTGGGACTTGGGGGATGCTCAAAGCCTGAATCCACCGCTGGTGCTGGGGGTGAGCCTGGGAGCATTGTGTGCCCTGCCTCAGTTTCCCCCTCTGTGCCAAACAGGCCTCGTGGGGTGTTAGCTGGATCAGGAAAAGCTGCTCCCCATCCCCTTGGGTTTTCCAGCACAGCGGGGCACTGTTCTTAGATGGAGCATCCCATCCCACATGAGTGAGACTGCAGTGCTGTGCTCCCATCACCCGCAGACCCCCCCAGACCGCAGTCTGGTGGTTGGATCAGGGGGTTTCCCATACTCTCCTCCCATTCAAGGCAGCAGCACCCACAGAAAGCTGTTTTGGGGACCACAGAGATGTGGGGGTTTGCCCCGGCTGGGACGGGACGGCCACATCCTGCCTTGCCATAGCCTTCACCTCCGTGGGCATTGGATCGATTGATTTATTTATGTATTTTTTCAAGCCCTGCTAGGAGTGAAAACAACCCAAGGGCCTCCAGAGGCCAATAAGATTTGACTGCAAGTCAATACTCGGCGTGTCTTTCCACTGTGCAATGATCCCCCAGCCAGCCAGGCAGGAGGCTGGCGCTGCCAGGGGCAGGCAGGGGACAGCCAGGTGACAGGGGCAGGCAGAGGGCCACCCTGGGGCAGGGACACTGCCCCTGCCTGGGGAAGGGATAGGGGGCAGAAAGGGGAGATCTTCTGGCCTGCAATAGGTATCTCCTGGGATGTATTGCCTGTAAATATAACAGTGATCCCATGGTGGGCAGCTCCACGTTGGGGATGTGGAGATAAGCAAGGGACAGGGGCTGGGAGAGCAGCGGGGAGAGGGAGAGGTGGGGAAGGAGGAGGAGGAAAGAGAGAAATCACCCGTGAAAATCATCTCTGCCGCAGCATCTGCTCCTCAGGGCTGTTGGGATGGAGAGGTTTTCCTGCAGGCAGAGCCAGGGCTGAGGCTGTGGGGTATAAAGGGGAGCAGAGCCCTGGCACGCTCGGTGCACGCCCCAGCCCCACAGCCAGTCGGCAGGCAGCCTGGCACGGCCACGATGCCATCTGCCAGGATTTCTCCTGGCTGTGGGTCCCAGTAGCTTCTCTGATGACTAATAAGCGTTGAGCTTAGGCTCCAAAGTACTTCCCAAAGTACCTCCTGCATCTCCGCGCAGCGTGGCCAGGACTCCTCATCCCTCTGGGGATGCTGCCGGGGAGAGGGTGCAGGGGAAGCAGGCAGGGGGGCAGGCAGGCCAGCTGCCCACGCTCCCCTGACATTTGCAGTTAGCAGTTGGTGTCCTTGAGTGGAGTAAGCGCCAAGAGAAGGGACCAGGTTCTCTTTAAGGGGGCAGGACTCCGGGAGCATCACGAAGGCAAGAGTGAGCTTCTCCTTCTGCCCTCTGCCTTCCACCTTCCCCTTCTTCCCTTCCCTTCCCTTACCTTCTCTTCCCTTCTTCCACTCC